GGCTTTCTTCAGTTTTTGTGTGCTAGCTATTCCTGTAAATAGTGCTTAGTCATGACAGGGAAACCAGCAGCAGCTGTTTTTAGTATTGTAATTTGTAATTTGATTTCAGATGATGTGTATTTATGTAAAAAGTAAAGGTTAAAAAGAAAGGAATGAAAGGAGGGTGAATAAGATATATCGGATTAAAAAATCTGAATAGGAATGTTTCGGTCCTTCAAGTCGCATACATTCTTGTTCCGTTTAATAAATTCTTTGGCCTCATTTCCAGTCTCTTTGGATGATTTTCGCATCTTTTTCTACTTTATAAAAGCGCATCTCGTAATGCAGAATCGTCACAAAGTTGACCCCTCGGATAAGGTGGCCTGCATTCACGGAGCAAAATGAAGCCCAAAGCAGCAACAGCTGTCCACAGTTTTTGCTTTGACTCGTGGTAACTCGATACAATAAAGATTCTGCGCTGGGGAATTCACATTGAGAGTGCGCGAAATGTTGCCGCACTGACGGTGCTGTTGTTTCAGGTCACGATCACGTAGCCGAAGTCGTTCGAAGACCCGAAGTCGCAGCAAGACTTATTCGCCAGATCGAGGCGAGGAGGGCCGACTTCATGTTGCCAACATTGATGAGTCTGTGCGTGCACGCGATCTGGAAGAGGCATTCTCGTAAGTTTCTCTACTTATCTCCTTTTTCAGTACAGTCCGGTAGATAGCCCAAATTCATGCATTGCAGGCGATTTGGCAAACTCTCCGAAGTATGGGTGGCCAGCTATCCGCCGCTCTTTGCATTTGTCGTTTTCAAGAACAAATCGGACGCAAACGAAGCTCTCTCAGCTCTGAACAATACGTATGTCTATTATATTCGTCTCCATTTCTCACTGATTCTCAAAAACCTATGGTTTTGAAATTGATTCACCATCGATCACTTTGTTTAAATTCCCATGGCCTTGTTTTCTTGCCCTGAAGTCTTTCGTTTTTATGCGTTTTTGCTGTGCAGCGATGATACAGCGAGAAAAAACGCACATTGTCGAGAAACCGTTCGCGTGTATTCGAAAGCGAATGAATTTTGTCACACACTTTCAACTTAGCGACCAGGAAAGCTGGGAGGCTGAGATTTTGCGGTCACATTCTCACCCCACATGCAAACTTTCCGGTTTTAAAATCTCTCATACGAGCCTAGATCTCGCTACAGACCCCCGGAAAAGTGTGCAAATTTCATTGGCGAGAAACAGTTTCACGAGCTAAGTACGATAGAATGCTGAAAATTTTCCAGGGATATTCTCTGCGCATGTGTGAGCTGAAGATTTCAAACTCAGCTATCGTGCAAGCTTATACCGTGCGTACGGTCACGTCGAAGTTCGTAGTTGGCACTGTGCTAACTCGAAAACTAGCCGGAAAACAGTAGCTGAAATTTTGTCTGAGTGTTTATCATTCATATGGGAAATCGTATATCTAAACCGAGTTTCGATTCGCACTTGCACCATGACTTGGGGCACTTAGGAGATGTTTGTAACAAGTAGCTCTTTCCCTTACCAGACAAGCTACGAAGCTGACTTAGCAAGGATATTCTATATTCACGCTTAGTTTTAATTCAGCTTGAGGGTGAAACATGCAGACATGACAAATAATTTTATTGCAATCTCAAAGGCTAGTGCATTTTGCAGATTTCATAATTCCTTTCGGGGCTTCCTTCAAATTTTCATTTTTTCAGTGGACGGGCATTCACCGGAAAACGACCGGACTTCATGCAAAAGATTGATAATCATGCATGCTTGAGGCCGATGCGGCCCCATAATGCAACATCCTCGTCCCAGCCGATGCTCTTTCTCTCTGCATGCGGGATGAGGCTAAAACACAGCCAGTATGAGTCTAAGTGTTAAAGTACACTGGCAGTGAGCAAGTTTAGCGCAAAAACGCGTGATCGCACCGGCAAGCCTGCTGTGTTGCAACTTGGGTTTTTGTCTGTAGCAAATTCATTGGTTTCCCGCACAGGTACATTCGAAATTGTCGAGTACGCGTGTCGGTGGCGTTGCCGCGAGTTCGTGCGCACGATCGTTTCCGCTACGGTGGTTACGGAGGCGGATATTATGGCGGTGGCGGTTATGGCAGGTAAGTGTCCGCGTCTGTTTAATACTTCCAGTGTTTTTAAATTTCATGACATAGTCTCAGGCAGTTACGTTTCAGATATGGGGGCTATGGTGGCGCTCGCTATCCCGACTATGCGCGCTACGGTGGCGGCGGCGGCGGCGGATATCGTGAGAGACGGTAAGTGGCACTCAATTTCAGGAGTTATTTGCCTCGATGAGGAATTTTTATACTCGTTTTGTGGCCCGAGACTCGGGGAAAGAAAGGGGAGGGGGAGGAGGGAGGGGAGGAGAGCGGGAGAGGGAGGAAAACGGAGTAGGTGGATTGCTGAATTTGCGGACAGCGACGTCGTGTACGGTTCCATT